CAAGTCGAGCGCTTTACTGCTTGAACTACAATGCCACTTCTGGTTTTCTAGTGTTTTTTATTGGAGATGAGTCTCACAGACTTTCCTGCCTGGGCTGGCTTTGAACCGTAATCTTAAGATCTCAGCCTCCTGAGTAGTTAGGATTACAGGCATAAGCCACCAGTGCCCAGCTCATATCACACTTTTAAAGAATTTGGATGGTTATTCTTGACTTACCTGAACAATGAAGGATGAGTATCTAGTAAAGACATAAAAGACATCTGTTAACATCTGTGGTCCATGGCTACCCCTGCAGCCTCATTACCATCACCGTCCTATCTTCCGTACCACCATTTCCCCATGCTACCAGACACGCATTCACTTTTGTGAATGCTATTTTCAGAATTCCTTTCCAGGTGCTGCCCACTTGGCTTACCCTCTAAGGCTCAGTTCTCAAATGACTTCTGACTTATGAAGACCTTTCTCTCTCTTTCTCTGCTTCCCTAGAGCCCTGTTATACCATATTTACATGTCTTTCCTCAATGCCAATTCTAGACCCCTCAGAGGTTAGGACTAGACTATTCATTTTTATATCCCATCCCTAGGAATAGCTGGCATAGTAGACGCCCAAAAAAGACAAAGACTGGACATGTCATCTCAATAGATGAATAAGCATTGTCTCTACTTACAAGGCTATCTGATACTTTATGGATAGAATGGTGACTAGTCATAGCCTGGAGCCCTAGGCATTCATTCATTCATTCACTCAGAACAGGTAGCACTGTGCTGGACAGTCATGATGCACTAAAGAAACCCAACCCTGCTCACAGGGGAGAGATCTAGCCTGGCATCTTGGTGGGCATTCTGGTCTGCTGTGAAGATTTTAGCCTCTCAGTCCCAACAGAGGCTACGGAGAAGGGGAAGAGGCAGAGAAGGTGTATGAGATGGGAGGTTCAGGGTCCCCAGGACAGACTCTGCCCCTGGGACCAACTCTGCTGATCAGTTGGTTTTACTTATGCATTTCTATTTTTTAATGAATTCCTTGCTGTTAATAAAGAACATCAGACACATTATTAATGGGCTCAAAGCCTCTGAAGTCCTATTATTACAAATGTAACAGCTGGGTTCACTTCATGATCGGCAGTAACGTCTGTACTTCCTGCAGCTGTCCCCCAGAATTCAGGTCATCACTTTCTGAATTCTAATGGACCCCCAAAAGACTTTCTTACTCCCTAATCCTGGGGGAGCAGGGTTTGGCATCTGGCCTCATCAGGGGACTATCAGCCAAAAGAGCACTTAGGGAACTCACTACCCAAGCTCATCCTGATCATAGATGAATTGTCCTTTTCCCTGGACTCTAGTCCTGCACCTATCCCTTCAGGGGCTGCATTTAGAAGTGGGCATGTTACAGAGGTCCCTTTCTTTCCTCCTTCTCTCCTTTTCTCTCTTCCATTAACACATATCTAGTGAACACATACTGTGTACCATAAACACTGTAAACACTGTTCTGAGTCCTGGGGAAAGTGATGAACAAAACTTAAGAATTCAGTGGCTCATGTCTGTAATCCTAACTACTCATGAGGCTGAGATCTGAGGATCATGGTTGGAAGCCTACCTGGACAGGAAAGTTCTTGAGACTCTGTGTGTGTGTGTGTGTGTGTGTGTGTGTGTGTGTGTGTGTGTGTGTGTGTGCTGTCTGTCTTCGTCCTGGGGCTTGAACTCAGGGCCTGGGTGCTGTCCCTGAACTTTTTTGATCAAGTCGAGTACTGTACTACTTGAACCACAGCTCTACTTTTGACTTTTTTTGGAGGGGTCGGGGAAGGGTAGTATTTTTTGCAGATAAGAATCTCATAGACTTTCTTGCTTGGACTGGCTTCAAACCACAATCCTCAGATCTCAGTTGCCTGAGTAGCTAGGATTATAGGCATGAACCATTAGCAATAGGCCTCCTTTAAATTATTTTTTACTGTTTTTTATTGTGAAAATACTGTACAGAGAGGTTACAGTTACATGAGCAAGGTAATGAGTACACTTCTTATCAAGCATTGTTGCCTCCTCCTTTGTTTTTCCCCTACCATCCCTTCCTCCTTTAAATTCTTATCTCCAATGAACAACCTTAGAGCTGGAGGTGGAGCTTTGGCTCAAGTGGTAGAGTGCTAGTCTTGACCATAAAAGTCTAGGGACAGGGCTGGGAAGGTGGCTCAGTGGTAGAGCGCTTGCCTTGCATGCCTGAAGCCCTGGGTTCCATTCCTCAGCACCACATAAGAAAAAAGAAAAAAAGCCGGAAGTGGCGCTGTGGCTCAAGTGGTAGAGTGGTAGCCTTGAGCTGAAGAGCTGAGGGACAGCGCCCAGGCCCAGAGTTTAGGCCCCATGACTGGACCCCCCCCTCCAAAAAAAAAGTGTAGGGACAGCACCCAGACCCTGAGTTCAAGCCTGAGGACCAGTACACAAAAACAAAAACTTAAGAATTTTTGACAGCCAGGAATATGGCTTCTGCCCTCCTTTACCCTTATGGAGTTTACACTCCAGTTTAAAAAAAAAAATTAGTCTTCTCAAACAGGAGGAAAAACAAAAGATTGATAATAAGACTGGAAGCTCTTTCAAAGAGCTAGGTCCTCCCCTACAGCCATAATGCTTTATAGAAGCTTAAACCTTTTCCTTAGGTGCATTAGGTGTGGGCAATGGGCAGTGGGTAACGCATGCCCACTGAATGTTGACATCAGCCTCATCGGAGCTTCCAGAGTTCTAGGACTGTGTATCAGCACAGTGCAAGTTACCTGCTAATATATGTTCTGTTCACCACCATAGCCTCCTTCCCTGCTTATAGAAGACACATGGGATGGGAAGGAGGCCTCAAACCAGGTCATCTCCTATACCTTTGCTGCTCAACAGACAGGGGTAGAGGCTCCTGAACTGGCCTAGTCTCAAGAGTAATGGCAGAGAGGTTGGGGTCTTACTTACTTCTGTCCCCTACCTTACCTCCAGCTGTTCAGCAGAGGGTCTGGGAGAGGCTGTGACCTGGCATGGAGCAGAACATTCTGATTGGACCTTATGAGTGGCTGGAGACCTGCCTGGGTCTGGCCTTGGAAAGAATGGCAGCAGTCTCTCCTGCATGTGTTCAAGGCAGGCCTTTCTGGAGTTCCCCGCTAACATCCATCAGCATACCTGCAGGAAGGGCACTGCAGGGGACCAGGGTGGTTACCAGATAGTAGATCTCACCTGTCTTAATCCCAGCTATACTAACAATGCTGCAAGTGAAGTTGAGGAAACAATTTGCTCAAGAGAATTTGCTCAGGCTGTTCTAATAGTTGACACATCAGCATTTGAATTCAGTTATTCAGTTCTCTCTCTCTCTTTCTCTCTATCTATCTTTTCTGTCTCTCTCTCCTTCCTTTCTTTCCCAATTCTGGAACTCAGGGCCTAGGCACTCTCCCTGAGCTGCTTGTTGTTGTTGTGGGTGCTGTCCCTCAGTAGGATTACAGATTTGAGCCACCAGGGCACCTGGCCCTGAACTTCTTTTGCTCAAGGTTAGCACTCTACCATTTGAGCCACAGTGCCACTTCTGGCTTTTTCTGTTTATGTGGTACTGAGGAATCGAACACAGGGCTTCATGCATGCCAGGCAAGCACTCTACCACTAAACCACATTCCCAGCCTCCTTGCTACTTCACTTTGTGAGACTTTCTTTGATGCATTTGTCTCCTTTGGAGGATTTGTCATTTGGGGGCTTGTCCAGGTGTCCTTGTGATGAGTCATCTGAATCAAGGTATTATAGTTGCAATAATGACTCTGGGTTTTCTGGAAAAGTGCTGGAGAAAGAGAGAAACATCACCTTCGGGTGATGTTGCTAGTGTGTCTGGGGAAGGACACTACCCTGTGACCTCACTGTTTTCCCCATTCCCCCCAAAGGCTTCTTCATACCTCCTGAGTTTTCAGAAGAATCAATATACTCAGCAGCAACCCCCCTGCCAACTCTACCCCTGGCAGGCAAAGCTTTCCTGAGTCCAGACTCGCCCAGCGCGGCACTGTCAATGCCCACCAAGCCTCCTGCATCCTTTCTGAACACATTAACTACTTCCATCCTCAAGACCTAGGCTGGGTGGCTGCTCATGGTCCTGCCTTCTCCTTTCCACCCCCCTTCTCTGTCTCTAGGATTTTTTTTTTCCAGACTTACTTTCTCTAAGAAGCCCTCACAAAGATGGCCTTGAAATATACTATTTCTCTGTGATCCCTACTTGGGTATTTCAGACCCTGTGCTGAACTAATTCAGGTCTAATGAATCATCTACAGGGCAGGTGTGGAATTTCACTATGTGTGTCCTGCTCTCTCGCCACGGCCTCATGCACATGATAGAAAAGTGTCAAATGACTTGTAGACTGGTTTCTGCCCACTAATTAGCGGTGCGGCCTGGGGCCTCTCTTCTTTTTGATGAAATGGTGATCATGATACTCAGGGTTGTTCAGGGCACGTGAGGCTACTTGTAGGGGAGAGTCATGAAAGCCAGGAGCCCCAGGCCGGTAAAAAAAAACAAAACTGTGGATTCGTTTTATCCTCCTCCTCCTCACACCGGCGTCGCTTCCCCTTCGCCCTCCTCGAATGATTCAGCTTCCAATCCCTCCTCCCAGCGGGCCGGCCAGCAGCTCGGCACCCTTAGCTGCGGATGATTCCCAAGCAAACTCCGGATTCTGCTCCCCGCACAGCTGCCCCTTGCTTAGAGCTGGCTTGAGCACACCTTGAATCCCGCGCCGGAGCGCAGTTTCTGAGCGCCGCCCGGAACTGCGGCTCCGCCGCGAGGGCCAAGGCTGAGGTCGTCGGTGGCCTATGCCCGCTCGCTGCGGGGTGGAGGTGGGTAGGTGGGCCACGTGGGACAGCAGCCGGGAGATCGGGTACGGACAGTGGAAGCCGAAGCTGGCCCTGGCCGGTCGTCACTGGTCCGCGGGCGTCCGTCTCGCCGGCTCCGGGGAGGAAGGCCCCCCGCTACTTCCCAGCCCCGCGCGCTCCACTGCCGGCGTGCGCCCCGGGGCGGCCCGCGGCGGCTCAGCGCGCGAATGAATGGGCGCCTGGGGGCCGCGCGCGCTCGGGGCTGAAGGGCATTAGGACCGTGAGGATCGCTCGGCTCCTGATTCTCCCTATCACTCCCCCCACCTCCCCAACCTCTCTCCTTTTTCTGCTCTGCAGGACTGAGCAGACAGCCGCGAGCGAAAACAAACAGCTGAGGTTGCGAGCTCCCCCCCGGCCCGGCCCGGAGAGCACCCTGGCCTCGACTCCCCCTGGGGCCGTCCGTCCGTCCGTCCGTTCGTCCACCATGAGGAAGATCCGCGCCAATGCCATCGCCATCCTGACGGTAGCCTGGATCCTGGGCACTTTCTACTACTTATGGCAGGACAACCGAGCCCACGCAGCATCCTCGGGCGGCCGGAGCGCGCAGAGGGCCGGAGGAAGGCCGGAACCCTTCCGCGAGGACCGCACCATCCCGCTCATTGTGAGTACAGCGGGTGCACCGGGCGGCCAGCCCGGCCCGGCCCGGCCCGGGGAGCTGCGACGCGCCTCCTGCCCCTGCTCGGCAGCCGAGGGCGCGGGGCCCGGCCGGGGGCTGCGTGCCCGCCGCGCTGGGCCGGCTTTGTATATGTTGGAGCATTCCTGCCCGTTGTTATGGCAACCCCTGCCGGCCCGCCGGGGCCAGGGTGCGTGCACCGAGGGGAGGGTGACAGCGGGTGGGGGGCTGGGAGAAAGTGCTGCAAGTTTGGTGGGCCCTGCGTGCGCGCGCGGCTGGGAACGTGGCGGCTCTCCCGGCACCGCGCCGCGGGGCTGGGGGCTGGCCGCGCCCGCTCCGGAAGGCGGCTCGGTCCTTACGCGCCGCGAGCGGGCGGCGGGAGCGCGTAGGTGGCGGCGGTGCGCTCTAGCTCTCCAGCCGCCGGCGGGGAGAGGACTTCGGGTGGGGGCGTGGAGGGAAAGGGTCGCCCCGGGCGCTGCTCCGGGCTTAGCGCCCCATTGACCGGGGCCAACTTATTTCTTCTGTACTGACCGTCCTCTTCCCCCAGGGGATGTCTAGTGGGGAGAGGTCTCACCCCGCACGCGTTGCTCACCCCCAGCACGCGGGCCCACCGCTGCAGGTGAGCGGGCAGTGCTCGCGTCTGGGCTGAGCGGTTCCCTCGCAAGTGGTCAGCCCGAGCAAGCAGGGGAAACAAAGGCAGTGTGGCGTGGCCGAGGGTTGGGGGGCGGCTCGGCGGCGCCGCGGGGGCCTCTGGCTCTCGGGGGACTCGGGCGGGGGCGTGCGGCGCTTCCCCTGTCCTGCAGGGGGCGTTCTCGTCCGGGCTCCGTGTGGTCCGGCCCCGGGCACCTGTTGAGGCCGGAGATGGCTGGGACTCGCCGAGAGCGCGCTGGAACCAGACTGTTCTTCCGACGACAGGGGTGGGGGTTGGGGCGAGAGCCTGGCACAGCCCTGGACATAGACTTCTGGGCAGCCTGGCGTGACGAGGAAGAGAGAGACTGAGAGAGCACAGAGGCTGGAGTAGGGGTGGGGGAGGGTGCGACTCTGACGGGAAAGATTTGGGCCTGGGGGGAACTCTGCCAGGCTTGTTAAGTCGATCCGAGGCAACTTTGAACCCCAGGAGTGTGGGAGGGTCTGTAGGGACCCACTCTCTTATTGCCTTCCTGCTCTAGATCCCACCTGGGAAAACATGAAAAAAAAAACCCTCTGTGAAGGATGTTTCTGGATTGGTGGGGGAGACCAAGAGTCTGCGGATTTTATTCTGGATCCTGGCCTTGGTACATCTCTGGGGACAGGTCTGATTAAATGGAGTGTTTCCTTCTGGGCTGTGGATCCTGTGAACCTAAGACACTGTTTCCAAAGCACTTGTCAGTGTTTGGGCAGGAAGTCTGGGCTCTGGTGCTAAGATCCCAGTGTGCTGAGATCTAGGTGGACTGACAGATTGGTACAGAAGTAGCCAAGCTAGAGGTCCCTAGACCCCAGGGAGCCCTCACCACACAAGTTCCAGCAGCCTCCATTCTTCGCTCCCAAAAGAGACCAGCCCTGGTCTCAGGGAAGGCAACCTGGAGCTAGCAGGGTAGAGGTAGACTGGTAGAGGCCTGTCGCCTCTCTCCAGTGGTGCTCTAATAGGAAGGAGGCTGTGATCTAGAAGGGTTGGAGAATGAAGGGGAGAGGAGTGGAGGGAAGGAGAGAGTGCTGGAAACTTGTCCAGAGCCTCTGATACAGAACCCCTAATCCAGACACCGCTGGTCTCTCCTGCTTCCAGACAGCTTGGAATGTGCACTACCAGGGGGATAAGTCCTTGTTTTGAAGGGTGTGAATTGGAGGTCATAGGGAAGCACTAGTAAACACCCTCTTGCTCCTCCTTATTCTTACAGGTGCAGACTTGGTGCAGGTAGAGACAGAGAATTAGAAGCTAAGTGTCAGATGTGAAGGCATTACAGGGAGATGAGATACCTGGGAACAGGGAAGTGAAGGCACTGGGAGAAGAAGCAAGTGGAGAGGCAAAGCCTTCTCCAGCTACTAGGCCCACAGCCCCTTCTCCGTTCTTATATGTTAGCCTGAGTGTCTGACCAACATCAATACAGATTGCCCACCACTTTTTAACACTGCTTTGCACTGTATTTCTATCTTCCAATCATTTCACTCCCATGTAATTCTCAGCTGAATGTTAACCACGCAGCCAGAGATCATGCTGGAATCCCCAAGTACCCTACATTGATGTGCACGGCAAGACTTAATAAGTACTTCTTTTATAAAGTAGTGCAATAGGATTTCTGGGAGCCGGGAATGGTCTGAGCTTCAAATCCCCTTATTATTTATTCACAGCTGCAACTTGACAGTAAGGAAGGAGGTAAGAAAACCCACGTTTCAGCATCTCTGGGAGTTGAACTCTTTGCTCAACTTAGAAGGTGTAGGTGCAGCTGAGGATATGTTTGTTCCCTGAAATTGGTGTAACCACTCACTGCCCTCACCATTCCAAAGCATTTCTCTGTCAAGTTGGGCCAGGGCTCTGCATGTAGACTTGCGGATTCTTAGAGAATGAAGTGGCTAGCTCTGCTGTCAAAGGCTGAGCAAATTCAGACAAGCGTCATCATCACTCCCCAGGGAAATCAGAGAGCTGGGCTGGGAAAGGGAGGGTCTGCGTCTGCGTGACAGCGTAGCCCAGCAAGCAGCTTCACTCTGGTTGGCCTATCCAAGCCAGCCAAGTTGCTCTGGTCCTTGGAGATGCTTGTTTGGCATTGTGGGGTGTCGGCATGGCAACTGTACGGCCCGATTTCTAAGGGAGGAGTGAGTTTTATTAGTCTGTCCTGCTGTTAGCCCTTGTGTCACAAATTTTTGATGAGAACTGTTTGGTTACAAAATCGGTGAAGCTGAAAGGAAATGCTGGTTCCATGTCTGTATGGCTGCTTATGATGTGGCAGGGTTTGTCACCTCTCCATGTTGTGCTGTCTGGATAAGGTAGTGTATTTGGAGATATCCCCTTACATTTACGTAAGTGTAGGACAGCAGCTAGCTCAGGAGGCAGAAGAATCTTTGCACCTCTTAAAGATCATTTGTAGCTGTTGGTTTGAGATTAAGGCTTTCCGTGTGCCAGTTCTCTAGCAGTCATGAGGAGGGGCAAGGTGTCACACAGAATTTTGCTTTACACTATTAAAAAAAAAAAAGGACTGAGTTAGTTGTTGGTGGCTCACACCTATAATCTTGAAACTGAGATCTGAGGATCATGGTTTGAAGCCAGCCCCAGCAAGAAAGTCTGAGACTCTTATCTCCAGTTAAGCACCAAAGAGCTGGAAATGGAGCTGTGGCTCAAGTGATAGAGCCAGCCTTGAGCAAAAGAGCTAAGGGATAGTGCCCAGGCTCTGAGTTCAGGGCTCAATATGGCACACATGCGCACACACACATACACACACAACTGTTTCGAGTATTTTTAATGTGGGAGCACTCATTTGTTACAACGTCTCCAGGTTTAGCAAGAATTTCCTAAACTGGAGTTGCTTATCTTGAAATTGAGATACTATTGGGTGACTATGGATAAAATACTTAACATCTCTGGACCTTGGTTAATCTGTGGGTTAAACATGGATTCAGTGATTGTCAAGGTTTGTTGATGCTTTGCTAAGCCAATGACAGTGTGATTTCTAGAAAGTTTACATGACTTTAAGAAGTTTTGTGGTGTGCTGTGAAGGGTCCACCTGTGGAGGGACACGACCCTCCCAGCCTTTTAGGGACCCCCAGTTTCCTAGTAGAACTGGACAGTGGTGAGGCTTTTCTGGCAATGTTCAGAGAGCAGAGGATTCAGTCTGATCTGGATGAGTTTATATTTTATAATGTGTACATTTTGAAGCTGCAGAAATATGATTTACCTAAATGACAGAAAATGATTTTTTATCTAATTTGTCTAGGTGCCACACAAGAAGAAGAGAGTGGTGAGGGAAAATGACCAACACTCACCATGTGCCAAAGCATTCAGATTTTAAAATTTCGACTTCCAGCTAGGCATTGATGGCTCATGCCTGTAATCCTAGCTACTCAGGAGGCTGAAATCTGAGGATTGAGGTTAAAAGCCAGCCCTGGTAACAAAGTCCCATCAGACTCTTATCTCCAATTAATCACAGAAAACCAGAGTGGTGCTGTGGCTCAAAGTAGTAGGGTACTAGCCTTGAGCAAAGGAGTTCAGAAAAAGTGCCTAGGCCCAGAGTTCAAGCCCCATGACTGACAAAAAAAAAAAAAAGCCTGACTTCCTGTCAATAGGTTTATTCTTGGGCCATTTAAGACCTGCCCTGGGATATGGGGACATCCCAGAGGTAGCCAAGTCTGAAAGGATGTTGATAACCCAAGTCTCCCCCCTAGAAGGTCAGAGGCCCTAGGCTCTGTTCATTCTCCTGACAGCCCTTTATTTCTGTGCTGTAACTGCAGTCCCCTACCAGCTGCTCTGAGGGCCTTGGGAGCACAGCTCCTTCTGTTGTGCCAGTGTTTGTCAGCTCGGTGAGCAGAGAAAGCCCCCAGGTCAAGAAATGCCATTTAAGGTAGTGTGGAGTGGGGGGACTGGCAAGGCTAGCCGAGCTGCCCAGGAGACTGTCTTGCTGTAATGGAGGAAGCTGCCCTGAGGCCAGAGGGGAGCCGAGAGCTGAGCAGTTCATTACAGTTACAAGATTGGAGATTGTGCCCAGCCTGCTTCTTGAAGCACCTTCCCATTAACAATGTGGCACAGACCCAGGGGGGCTGAACAAGTGCAAGATACGAGTCTGGGAAGGAGCAGGAAGCCAATTTCAGACAGGGTCAAGTGATAATTACCCTTGAACACTACATTCCCTGCACTTAAACAGAATACTTGCCTTCTGGTCACACACTGTGTCTGGCCCCCTCTGAACGTGGCTTCAGGTAGCTTCGTCCCTCTCCTCTGATTGTCTATGGTCTTTGCTCCTCTGCACTTGTCCTCTGTAAATGCTGTCTGTGCTGCTTATATTTATGATGGCTACATTCATTTG